TGGTGAGTGCACGTTAACCACGTGAATGTAGCAAGAAATTTATCACGCAGTATTGTCACTTCGACCCCCCACCTCGCTTCCGTGGAAGAAATCGTTATGTTATAAGTTGTGTCATGCAAAATGCTTTTGGTTATGATTCAAATACATATTTAACTACGAGTAGAAAGTAGTTTTGATTTTCTAACTTGATGAAAACAAACCATAATCTCATTAATTCTAACAGACTTTAGCCCGTGACTTCACGATTTTCAAAAATGGCGGCGCCCTGTCTCGAACATCCGCCAGTCTCAGTATAAATGCTATTTAGGTTTGTTTTCACCGAGTTACAAAATCAAAACTACTTTCTACTGGTAGTAAAATATGTATTTGATTGATGGTCAATAGGATTTTGCATGATATAGCGTATAACATAACAATTTCTCTCGTGGAAGCGAGGTGGGTGTCAATATAATACTACTTATAATTACAGTATTATTGTTACTTCGACCACAACCTCGCTTCCGAGGAAGAAATCGTTATGTTACAAGTTGTGTCATGGAAAATCTTTATGTCATCAATCATATACATATTTTACACGACCCATTTTGCACGAACTTCGTGGTCCTGTGGAAATCTGTGCATGGCGACACCATCGCCCGACCTCTAGGAGCAATTGACGACAACGCAACGATTTGGCATGTCTTCGATGATGTCGAGAAATCATCAAAATGACGAACTTGCTACACACTTTCTATACTATGGTGGCTGATTAGGGCCATCGCTTTCTCGCCTTAAAATTCGGAGGCGAGAAAGCGAGAAAGCGATATCACGAGACGAGAAAGCGATATCACGAGACGAGAAAGCGATAACACGAGACGAGAAAGCGATAGCACGAGACGAGAAAGCGATAACACGAGACGAGAAAGCGATAGCGCGAGACGAGAAAGCGATAACGCGAGACGAGAAAGCGATAACACGAGACGAGAAAGCGATAGCACGAGACGAGAAAGCGATATCATTGCGCGAGAAAGCGATATCATTGCGCGAGAAAGCGATAGAGCGATAAAGCGAGAAAGCGATAGAGCGAGAAAGCGATATTACCCACAATTCAGTGCTGTCTGCGCATGATCGACTACAAACGGGAGCTCAGTCGCCATCGTAATTTCTGGATAGTATTAAATGGTTTTCAGTAATGTTCTTGCCCACGAATGGCGGTGTATGACTTGACGTTTAGAAAATATCTAACAGAGATGTAGACTTTCCTTTGACATGCAATTTGCACGTATGCAATAGTCATATCGTGAAATAACGGAAACGTTCATTTTGTGATGTGACTGAAGGAATTACATATTTTTTTACATAAGTAACTGGATTCGGGTTGTCTTAACCAACTTAATCCACCAACCAATTGAATTGTTTCTTTGATGGGCATTTTAGATGTTGAGTTGATGAAGAATAATGACAATTATATTGGATATACAACTTCTTTTATTCTGTGGAGGCGACGTTTCGACATAGATTCTAATGTCGTTGTCAAGCAAGTGATACATGAGTAACAAATTGAGAGAATATATTCATGAGTTTTTATTACAGTAGATAGGGAATGAGTTGTTTATATATTAAATGAGGTTGATGTACAACGCTTGTAGAAGAGATTGAGTAAGTTGATTGGAAGCCAGAAGGGTGATATACAAGGTCTGAATTAGAATTTATAGGAGGCCAGGTGGATGTATATACAAAAGATGGGTTTGATGTACATAGTTGAATTAGAACAGATAATGTACACAAAAATATTATTGATTACTTTATCAAGTGATGGTAGGCATTGGGAATGTACTATCCTTCATCTCTGTTGAGAAACGGATCGTATCTTCTTGATGTGTACTGCTTCCAAAAGTTTCCGAATTTTCTAGTCTGACTGGTTCTTTTCTATGGTTTTCTTTGAATTATGATGTTGTGTGAGAAATGTGTCGGAAGTGCCAGATGAACGGGATGGACCTATGACAAATAAAGCATTGTGACGAGTATATTTTCACGGCGATTTCCACCATGAGTGGCCAGCACTAAGACAATCAACCACATCCAAACCATCATCCTAAAATAAAATCACTGAGTGAGTGTGTGAATTGAAATATATGTCGCATAAGAGCAATATTCATGTTTTAGGTTCATTGTTGATGGTTTTGTGACGCTATATTGTACGCCATCAGTTCAATTCCAACTTAATGGAATGGTGAGTTACACTTACATTTCAAACAAATTGGAGCTTGCGTTTCTTTTGCAGCTCAGTTTATTACATATACATCACATTCAGAGAGTTTTGAAGTATGTGACACTATAAATGAGCCGTATGTAGACAATTCAAAAATAATTATCAGTTCTCACTGTTTGGTTATAGGTGGAGGAATTAGAAATGAGGCATGGGAACTTAACCGTTTATGTTTATGTCACTTTATTGTATTTCAGGGTGATCAAAAAATACAGCTGTAGTTTCTCTGAATTAATAAAGACGATGAAATTTATTAACTGAAAGAACTTCACCTACATGAACCCAATTCGCTCCTACCCAAAGATAGAGGAGATGCACGTGACAGCAAAGCACCTCGGTACCTCAATGTAGTAACAGAACCATTCCACAGTCAATGGTGTAATCAAAGCAAATAAAAGGATGCAGTCAAACGTTCGTCTAATCAAAGCTGAAAATAGTACGCAGTTAAACGCTGGTCTAGCCATATATAGTGAACTTCTTTGGATGGCATTTAGAAGTTGGTGCTTACCCAACAACGGGGGAAAGTTATATGGATATACAACTCTTTTATTATAATGTAAGCGACATTTTGGTCCGCCAATTTCAAACCTGTTCTGCTATCAAAACCCATCTTTTTCCGCCATGTTTTCTTCTGACAAAAGTTAGATAATATGTTATACCAACAACTGGTTTCTACAATATATTGTTACCCTCCGCCGCCATTTTGACTGTATGTAATAATTGATGTGTGTGATATGTACTCTTATACCACCACTGGTGGTCTATTGAGAATAAAAAGTAAAGTAAAGGCTACAGCTGGACGTGGTCGCATAGGTTTTGAAAAAGTGATTGGTTACGCGTGTATCCAATTCACCTTTCGTAACATTTTCGTTTCCAGAGGAGGACTTGAAACTCGTTCAATACATGGAACTATCTACCTGTATCATCTTGTTTATAATTTGGTCAGCTCATGTCAAAACGATTCAAATCGAATGAGAGCAATAGGTGACATTCACTTGGATGCAGTCAAATGAGAAAAGGGCGTCAAATCTGCCTGATTTTACGATATATAAATGAACAGATTCAAGAATCTGCATATTTACAGGTGCAGTTGCATGGGCATTTCCGAATAGTACTGAGTCTAATGTATATCCTTTTGGTAAAAGTACATGTTATTTCGAGTTACAGTATATGTTGGACAAGTAAAGAAAAAGTGAAAACTATCCTCATTTTGCTAGTCCACATGAGCATATCGGACTTTCTAAAATGTATCTTTCATATTGTGAGCATTGAGGTCACTGCAGCCAAATAAACCCTCCTCCACATCTACAAAACACTTATCATGTACACACTGGAGTGAGTGGTTCCCGTCCTTCTCTATCCCCAACTAAACTCCTTACAATATATAAAAAATGCCATAGGTGCAAAGACTAGTACCTACTAGATAGAAGTTACTAGAAGAAACCAAATTACTCAATAACTACCAGACTGGGTCTGAAAACAAAATATCAAAACACCAAACAAAAATGGGCACCCTTAAATTCAGAATAAACCCTTTAAAACATCCCTATCCAGCCACACATTACAGTGTAAACTCGATTATCCAGACTAACTCACAATGTCAAGGCCACACACCGCACGTTTCACAACCAAAACATAAACACCGTACTCTGCCTCCCCAGCCCTACTTTTTAACATTTAACCCCTTTTCATCTATTTAGTACACTCCTTATTAGCTTATCAGCAACAGTTGAACTGTTCTGCACAATAAGTCACAATATACTTTACACTACTTACTTAGTTGAACTTATATGCAATCAAGTTCCCAACCCTCTTACGTCCAACTTCTCAACTCCCCATCTAAACTAAATTATCTTCAATATGCAGGTGTTTTATGATATAGTGCTTTATTCCCCAAGTGATAATTATATTACGTTTTTGTTAAACACACCTATCACGTCGGTCGATGACTTGTGGCACTGTCTCAAGTAGAGAGTTGGGATATGGGGACAGACATATAAGTATGTAGACAAGCCATTCTTGTAGAAGTATGGGAGACGATGGCACATACATTTAGAACAATACCTTTTTCATATAATAGTGGAAATATATATGTGTGAAATAGGCACACATAAAAAGACCAGACGAAAGGCACAGGGTGTATGAAATTCCATCACTGATACAATAAAGCCCGACTGGGAGTTCGTTTGGTTGGTTTGTTGTTTAACACCGGACTGAAACACGATGTTACGGGTATATTCTTATCCTTCATCAGGTGAATGAAGAGACTAGAAACTAGGAAGAGAAAGCTAAAGACGTACATTTGAAACAACAGTGCTAAGATAACAAGGGAAGCCAGTACCCAATTAACGCTAAATTGGTAGGGTGGATGGACAAATGGAAGCCAGGGATTGTTAATCCCGGCATGAATAATGAGATAACAATGGTAGCATTTAACAAGGGAAATGACAATAAAGAAATGCAAGCCAGGAATTAATCCAAGCCTAATTAGTGATTAGTGATAAATTAAATGATTGTTATCCTTTATATACAACTAACTGAAAATCCTTCCTCATTTGACGTCACTGCAGTGCTCTGGCGACAGAGTTACGTAACCTGTCTGTGGTTTCGTTGGCGGGCGAGAGTGAAGCAGGCGACTTTTTGGCAACCTTTAAATCGCTCGGTACTAATTAACCGCAAGTTTTTAAAGAATGAATTTGGTGTTCCGCATAAGACTGACAACAAATCTTTCATATGTAATAGTTAAAAGAGTAAAAAAACCAAAGTATATTTGTTCTTTAACTGATTACGGACCGGTTTTCCTCCTAATCGCATGGGTTAACAGAAGATAGTGCGATTTCACTACTGCCTGCAAGGAGAAACTGAACACAGCTAACAGGAATTTGCAAATTCTGGAGAATGTGGGAAATTTTAAAATTCAAGCAGGCAATTGTTATCATTTGCCGTATACTTGGAGCCACTGAACAGGTCTTGATTATTCCCTGGTCAAGCTTGTGTGGACGTGCAGGACATCCTGCAGCGGCACGTGCAGCTCTCTCTCAACGTGCTTGGCAGCGTTCATGTTTGTCTCCTCCGAGTCTGAAGTGACGACCATGACGACATCCTCTACTGGCGTATGTATCGTTCCAAGGCTGTCAGAGCGTTGACGGGAGAACTTTGTTTTCCACAAATAGTCTGAAACAGTTGGAAGATAACAGTTGGAAAATACATTATATCAATCGATTAGTATAGAGAGGCGAGAACTGAGTGAGTGAGTGAGTGAGTTTAGTTTTACGCCGCACTCAGCAATATTCCAGCTATATGGCGGCGGTCTGTAAATAATCTGTAAACATTCCAGGGATCAACAGCATGAGCATCGATCTGCGCAATTGGGAACCGATGACATGTGTCAACCAAGTCAGCGAGCCTGACCACCCGATCCCGTTAGTCGCCTCTTACGACAAGCATAGTCGCCTTTTATGACAAGCATGGGTTGCTGAAGACCGATTCTAACCCGGGACCTTCACAGGTGAGGCGAGAACTGGCGCGACATTGAAAGGCTGGTTGGTTTGTTGTTTAACGCCACACTCAGCAATATTCCAGTTATATGGCGGCGGTCTGTATATAATCGACTCTGGACCAGTCAATCCAGTGATCAACAGCATGAGCATCGATCTACGCAATTGGGATACGATGACATGTATTAACCAAGTCAGCGAGGCTGACCTCCCGATCCCGTTAGTCGCCTTCTTGGTTGTCCAATTCTAACCCGGATCTTGAAGGGTAACATCGAAAACTTAAGTAGCCACAATTGGAACTATTCAGAAACGAGGACCTACCAGCTAGGCTGTTGGTCACATCTGGAGGCTTCTGTACGATGCCATGTTGTGCTATCCGAGTTACTAAATCGATGTAGCAGTTGGTATCGGAAACGGCGATTGTCAGCACATACACACAAGAAAGACGATGTAAGGCAGAAACAATGGCGGCGGATGTTAGATCGGGTGAGATGATGTCTGAAGTACAAGGAAAAGGTTAAGAAACAACAAATTATGTTGATCGAAGATATCGACGGATCAGAAGTTATTGATTTAACGTCATGATACCTTTAGGTGCTAGCGGTACAGTCACATGGTACCACTCCTTCTCAGCCGCTCGAAGTAACCCTTTCCGCAATCCCGTAACCATTGTGGCCTCGCTATCGCCACAACAGTCCACACGAATACATGTTTTGTGTGCAGTGACAGTACCACCCGTCACAGGTCTCGGGTCTGGAAATCAAAATTGGAACCATGAGTCAGTCAAGCTCTACGCCGGTTTTGGTAATATTCTAGCAATATCACGGGGGTCTGAACAATGGCGTCTGATCAGTGATAGTCTAATATTATTCTTCACGTTTGAACTGAATTATGGACACATTATTGTGGGCCACACAATGAGTTGAAGGTGGAGTTCTGTCAGGACATCCTTGTGACTTCAGAGCCGTCGATTTTGGCAGCAATGTCCGAAGTTTCAAAGGGATATTCCGGCACAAGTACTTGTTAATTTCGCGTTTGAAGCCTGCGTTTGAAAATCATTGTTGCTGAGATTAAATGCCAGGCAGTAACATTTCACTTTCTAAAAATACATTTTCCGTTAACTAGTTTCGTAGCTTGGACTTAAAATCCTGGTCAGGATGAATCTTGCGAAACAGATGCGTGTCGTGAGTGAGTATGGTGTTACGTCGTGTTCAGCAATATTTCAGTGATCACGGCGGGGACACCAGAAACGGGTTTCACACATTGAACTTATGTGCGGACTCTTTAACCACAAACCTGCCCAGCGTGTCATAAGAAGCAAATAACGGGATCTGATTACTTTTCAAGCTCGGTATGTCATTGTATGCCAAAATGTATGTTTCTTCTCAGCAGTTAACTGTGCCCCGAACTCGAACATTAATCTTATCTTGACAGGAGTTTGCTAAGGCAGGTCCAGTCCTTCGAAATGAACGTACAGCAATTCAATGACTTTCAGACATTCCAGCATGAAGTGAATAAAGACCATGCTGTTCCAAATTGCTTATGACCTGCGCTTTTGAGCAACATTTGGATTTTTGGCGCCGTACAAAATTGAACTTTATCATTAAATATTATTGTTGTTGATCCCTAATCCCTTTCATGAATACTTTCTGTGTTGTAAATCTCTAATAGATGTATGTAATTCATTGCTAACACACGCTTGGTAGCGGCATAAGAATGTGGGTAGCCTCGTGGTCAAAGCGTTCGCTTGTCACGTCGAAGGCAAGAGTTCGATTCCTGACAAGGATACTATGCGTAAAGTCAATTTCTGGTGTCCCCCGCGGTGATATTGCTGGATTGGTGCTAAAGGCGGTGTGAAACAAAACTCACTAACTCACTGAATAATGAAGTATTCATAAAGCATTTCGTGTGTATTACTTCGCTGAATATGGAAAGGTCTACATACTCCATTTGTCCGTAACTCTCCACAGTAGTAGTCCAGTCTGTGTGGCGTTACATACTTCATTGATGCCCCCATTAATAATCTGGACGAGCGTGTATCCAATCATGACCCTCAACTCGCACATGGTCTGGCCAGGTCTCCGAACCTCTAATACAAATGAATGTCCCAAGTTAGTAGGAATAAGAGGGACCATTGGATGTTTTCATATTGGTACTTGGGTTTTGCACATATACAAATATGTTCCAAGAACGTGTGAATAAAGTCAAATATAATGTTAATAAATATACAATGTAATGACATTACAAACTTATACCACGGATTACAATATGTGTCCGCCTGAGAACCAGAGTGTTCTAAGTCCCCAAACCGTGTTTCGAGATAAATGGCCCTAAATATTTGCATTTAATACTGTACAAACTTACTTCGGTGCATAAATCATCAAAACCTGCATTCAAGTAGAACAATACTACATTTGCTACTTAATAGAGCTTCATCTATTCACACAGAGAGAGAGATAATATAAGAGAGAGTGACAATTTAAAGTGTGACATCCGAGTGTGTGTGTGAGAGAGAGAGAGAGAGAGAGAGAGAGAGAGAGAGAGAGAGAGAGAGACGCACACAGATATATATATAAAGGGGATTTGGCAAGAAGAAATATCTGGACTCATATTTTATATATACATACTCTCCCAAAGAAGAAACGCATCATGAATATAGCAATTTCATGTAGCAATGAATTAAAACGTGTTTCATTTTACAAAAGGTTTTGCTCTGTTTATGAGTCGTATGGTGTTTATGTTTTGAAACATCACAACAAAACGCACCAGCCATAAAATACCCGTTTTTAACAGCATGATTTTCAATTTCGGCGTGTAGGGTCACAGAATACACAATTCACATGCTATGCACGTAAAAGTTGGGGATCAGATAGTTTCAATGATGGGTATAAAAGGTTGATTGCTGTCTGTCGATTATTCACTATATTTGGAATATTGTTGAGGAACGCAAAATGCCACGTCTAAGTGAAGCCAACCGTCATATCGCCTTTGGTTTGCTTGAAGCTGGCCAGTCTCAACGTGCAGTTGCCCGACGCATGAATGTTCACCAAAGCACCATTTCACGGCTCTGGGAGAGATATCGCTGGCAGAATGCGGTAGCAGATGCCCCTCGTAGTGGGCGACCTCGAGCGACCACTGCGGCGCAGGATCGCTACATCCGGGTACATCACCTGCGTCATCGAACAGCTACGGCGACCAGTACCGCTCGACAAATACCCGAATTGAGGAGGCCGTCTGCACAGACCGTCAGGAACAGGTTGAGAGAGGCTGGTTTACGTGCCAGAAGACCTTATTTTGGCCCTGTTCTTCGACAACAACATCGTCGACATCGAGTTCAATGGTGCACCAACGTTCAGGCCTGGAACCTACCGAATTGGCGTAGAATCTGGTTCAGTGATGAATCACGATTTCTATTGGAACGACGCGATGGAAGAATGCGGGTGTACAGACGTCGACGTGAACGTTTCGCCGACGCTTGCGTTCCCCAGATGGACAGATTCGGCCGGGTCAGTGTTATGATGTGGGGAGCGATCACCTGCCGTAGGTGAAGTGATTTGGTGATGATCCAGGGCAACCTGACAGCTCAACGGTACTGTGACGAAATCCTACGCCCACACCTCCTTCCAACCATTGATCGCCAGAGGGAGTTGTTTCAACAGGACAATGCCAGGCCCCACACAGCACGTCACACTAGAGACTTCCTCCAGAACCACAACATCAATGTGCTCCCCTGGCCCTCAAGATCACCGGACTTAAACCCGATCGAACATCTGTGGGATGCCCTGGACAGACGGGTGCGACGCCGTAACCCTCAGCCCCAGACACTTCAGCAACTCGCACAGGCACTACAGGCAGAGTGGGCTGCGATTGGGCAACACGAGATTCTGAGACTTATTCGGCCGATGCCGAGGCGATGCCGTGCAGTTCTGGATGCCCACGGTGGTCACACGAGGTATTGACTTCAGCGCCACCACACGTCTCCATGTGACGCTCAAACTGACTTTCCTCGAGTTGGTGCCAAAGACGGATAAGTCTGCATTCCCAGTGTGCAATTTCGCTATATTTCATTGACTCATAAAGCCTACAAGATGTTTCAAAATAAAAATAAAAGTACAGTTTAAATTCCTATATGCGTTTCTGTTTTGGGAGATATATATATACTGAAATAATATTGAATCAGAACAAGTGTGGATACGTATTTATTATAATGTCAAATACCATACCTCTTTCAAAGAATTCAGCTATAATGGCATCTGTTCTCGGCCAAAAGAAGCGGTAGAAATATGCACGTTGGTCTGAAAATAGTACATACAAATTTCCAGACCATACAATAATCAGTCTCGATTATCTGGACATACTTGGGAAAATAGTGGTAAATAATATATGAATGAAGCACTGACATCAGGGTTTGTTTTGAAAATGGGTAGCATGTCCTTCTCAACCAGTAGTTTGCAGGAAAATTGACATAAAAGAGTTTGTTGCCTAAAGCCATAGCTAAACTCTACTTGGACAAATGCTGCGCCTCCGGTGTCACGTTTAATCAGACAATCTATTACGCACCTTCTGGGGGTGCTTCAAGCCATCTCGTCTTGAGCTTGTGGGTGATTCCATGAGCTAGAAACTGCTACGGGAAAAATGAAACACAAACGATTGAACTATTTCAAGCAGAGTATCTAACTATGAACCTACGCAACCACACGTTTCTCAGAGACATAATGGTTCTATAGATTATCTTTATGTGCAACAAATATACACTCTCTGATCATGAGAACCTTTAATAAATGTACTTTGTAAATGGTCTCTGTACCTGTTTGACATCTAGCCTTGACTCAAGGCTGGTAACTATGAAAATCTCCTTCAAGGATGTCTGTTTGTTATCTTGAGTGAAAAGATCAATGGCATGATGCATAAGTTGTATAACGTCCTTGGCAGGATACTGTAGGGCCCCTGTACCGAACGCTGGCAGTGCAATTGTCTCAAACCCATCCTTGCTTGCCTGGATGAGGCATCGGAAAACCAGAGACACAAGACACTGTGGATAAAGATCTCCATACCAACAAAATCAATTATAACATGGTTCTGTTTAAGTTCGTCTAGATAATCTAGAAGATCTAGAAGGTTCTCTGAAGCAGTAAAATGAACGTCCCCATATCTATTCCATTAAGTGAGTGAATTTGTTTTGGTTCAATTCGCTTGGAATTCCAGCTTTTTGTGGGTGGAAAGCTCGAAGTGATGTTTGTGACTTTTGTAAAATTGGTTGGTTGGTTGTTGTTTAACGCGGCACTGAGCAATATTCCAGCTATATGGGGGTGGTCTGGAAATAATCGAGTCTGGACCAGACAATCCAGTGAGCAACAGTATGGAAAGAAATAACATTTTATACAAAATTGGACATTACATAAATGGAGTTATTTTACCTTCAGAAAGCAGGAAATTGCATCTGAGAACATATAATTTTAAAACATTCACGGGGAGCATGCCAGAGGACCCCTTTAGATCCTTGGCCGCTTCGAGACCTCGAACGTGAATAGTGCCTCTCCTATGAGGTGACATTACTCTGAAAATGTTTTACATTTAAACACTTTGAATGGGTTACCTCGTAACACTTTGAAAGATTGAACGTTTCCATGTGCCCTGTGTAGAATGGAAGACATCCGTGGTAGATCTTTTTACAAGTGTCAAGATTCCCAGAACTAGTGACTGCCAAATCCCCGTACTCTATTCCGTCAGGGTAGATGCGTCTTATGGCCTCCTGTACGTCAGAACCAGCCGCCGCCATCAGGCTCATGGACACACCAAATCCCGAACTCAGATTCAGTTGTCTGTTGGTTGTATTTACTACCACGTCAGCCTACAAGAGTAGAACAGATTTTTCCAGATACAATCTTCGAAAACGACCACACACCTCCCACTTACACCCCCCCTCTCTCTCTCTCTCTCTCTCTCTCTCTCTCTCTCTCTCTCTCTCTCTCTCTCTCTCTCTCTCTCTCTCTCTCTCTCTCTCTCTCTCTCTCTCTCTCTCTCTCTCTCTCTCTCTCTCTCTCTCTCTCTCTCTCACACACACACACACACATATGTAGGCACAAACACATTAGCTGTTCATAACATTCTGTTCCAAGGTAAAAATACAGCCTCTTACCTTTTGGTTTTCTATCCTATTGAAGACGACTGTCACGTTAACTCCTTGCTCTTCTGGAATAAAAATGGACGGATGCAAATTTTGTCTCTCACTAACATCAAAGTCAACTGGTCAGCCTATTATTCCGAGGGGCGGTGGGGTAGTCTAGTAGATAAAGCGTTTGCTCGTCACGCCGAAGACCGGGTTCGATTCCCCATATTGGTACAATGTGTGAAGCCCATTTCTGGTGTCACCCGCCGTGATATTGCTGGAATATTGCTGAAAGCAGCGTAAAACTATACTCACTCACCCTATTACCCCAAGTCTATCTGCTTTAATATATGTTTAAATATACATTAAACTCCGTTTATTATCCGTCAAGGGTATTTGTCACTAGAGCTCAGGGTGGTCAGGCTAGCTGACTTCGTTGACACATGTCATCGTATACCAATTGCGTAGATCGATGCTCATGACATTACTGGATTGTCTGGTCCAGTCTCGATTATTAACAGACCGTCGCCATACAGCTGGAAAAAAAGCTAAGTGGGGCGTTACACAATAAACATAAACTCATATAACGACCTGGGCCCTTATTCTCGAAACGTTCGTAGCCCTAAGAATTCTTAACTTTGATCGTAGCCAATGTGTTAAGAATGGGCTTAAGAAGTTCGTAGGGCTTAAGAAGTTTCGAGAATAGCTAGCCAGTTTCTTGGGTCCCCGCCACTTGCTGTTACTCTTTTAGTCGAAATACGTATAACGAACTACGGTTATAACGAATTAAAATCACTGGTCAGTTTGAGTTCGTTATAACCGTTGTTTATTGCTCTTTTTATTGTGTGTTGTTGTGTAGTAAGGACCAGTTCTCTGCTGACCGGTATCTACATTTTCATTTGGTACCACTGACCTTGGGTGAATTGAATTGCAGATTGTGCTCGTTGACGCCATATTGGTTTCGTAGACAACTGATGCCCGATATGACACCGATACCTTTGTCCAATGGTTTCAGCAGTTTCAGCAAATTTCCTTACATCGACCCCAGTCTCAAAACTGAATGTGGAGCACTTCACTTCATCAACTAGACCACCCATTTTGTTTGCTGCCCACGTAACATCAATCGTATGGCCCTTCACGTCGTAGCCATTTACACGGCCAGATATCGTCACATTCTCGTCCTTTTGAATTTTCTGGATCTCATCCTCTTTGTATAAAGATAGATATCTCAGGCATTCCACATCAACAGGTACAAAGATACTAGTCATATCAACTGCTGAATCTTCCTTCCTTGGAACATCAGCAACTCTTTGGTGTGGTGATGGCTGTTGGGTTTCGTGTGCCATTATTGTTGTATTGGTGAACGAGACATAGGGTGACTGCGTTGTACTAAGGCGTAGGGTGACTGCGTTGTGCTAACTAAAGGCATATAGTGACTGCATTATATGCTGTAGTTTCTCTTAGTTTGCGACAGAGTCATAGTTGAATTTCTTCATTTGGTATTCATCGAAGCCCTATCAACAGGTAAGGGTTGTTCTGAAAAGAATTTATAGGCTTTCACATTTTAAAAAATGGAAATGAATGAAGTGAAATGTCAGTCGGGGTTCACATTACTCTGACGATTATCCAATTACAAAATTGAAAAATACGTTGTTGTACACAGAGATTAGGTACGATTTACAGAGACTGGGTACGATTGACAGAGACTGGGTTCGATTTACAGAGACTGGGTACGATTACTTCTCAATGTTCAACGCAGCGCTCGGCAATTTTGCAGCTATGAAAGGGGCCGTAAAATATCGATGATTTTAAGGTGGGGGTTCACCCATTTTGTTCTGGGGAGGCAGGGGGGTAATCAATTTTGTACATATAACTATTTTAAAAATATGCTACAAAATTATGGGGAGGGAGGGGGGTCATTCATTTTGTACATGACATGCAGGGTGGGGTCACTTTGTACATGCTTCTTCATAAAAAATCATCATCTGCCCCTAAGCCATAAATTATGAACGGTCCCTAACGGGATCGGGTGGTCAGGCTCGCTGACTTGGCTGACACATGTCATCGTATCCCAGTTACGTAGATCGATGCTCATGCTGTTGATCACTGGGTTGTCTGGTCCATTATCGAATATTTACAGACCGCCGCCATATAGCTTGAATATTGCTGAGTGCTGCGTTAAAAACAAACCACCAATCCATACTCCTGTTAGGCGTCAGCCACCAAACACATACTTTTCTATGCAAATTGTGTAAATGGACATGCTTCTACTTTTCGCACATAATGTCATCAAGGATTTTCAAGGGTCCTTATGTCACAGTTATGTCCCCTTGTAGCAAATTTAATCTGTTTCGCCCTATAATAAATCTGTTTCGGCCTATAATCTAGACTGAATATCTCTTGTAACATGATTTATATATACTCTCCCAAAAAGAAACGCATCATGAAAATAGCAATTTCATGTAGCAATGAATTAAAACGTGATTCATTTTACAAAAGGTTTTGCTCTGTTTATGAGTCGTATGGTGTTTATGTTTTGAAACATCACAACAAAACGCACCAGCCATAAAATACCCGTATTTAACAGCATGATTTTCAATTTCGGCGTGTAGTGTCACAGAATACACAATTCACATGCAATGCACGTAAAAGTTGGGGATCAGATAGTCTCAATGATGGGTATAAAAGGTTGATTGCTGTCTGTCGATTATTAACTATATTTGGAATATTGTTGAGGAACGCAAAATGCCACGTCTAAGTGAAGCCAACCGTCATATCGCCATTGGTTTGCTTGAAGCTGGCAAGTCACAACGTGCAGTTGCCCGACGCATGAATGTTCACCAAAGCACCATTTCACGACTCTGGGAGAGATATCGCTGGCAGAATGCGGTAGCAGATGTCCCTCGTAGTGGGCGACTTCGAGCGACCACTGCGGCGTAGGATCGCTACATCCGGGTATATCACCTGCGTCATCGAACAGCTACGGCGACCAGTACCGCTCGACAAATACCCGAATTGAGGAGGCCGTCTGCACAGACCGTCAGGAACAGGTTGAGAGAGGCTGGTTTACGTGCCAGAAGACCTTATTTTGACCCTGTGCTTCGACAACAACATCGTCGACATCGAGTTCAATGGTGCACCAACGTTCAGGCCTGGAACCTACCGAATTGGCGTAGAATCTGGTTCGGTGATGAATCACGATTTCTATTGGAACGACGCGATGGAAGAATGCGGGTGTACAGACGTCGACGTGAACGTTTCGCCGACGCTTGCGTTCCCCAGATGGACAGATTCGGCCGGGTCAGTGTTATGATGTGGGGAGCGATCACCTGCCGTAGGTGAAGTGATTTGGTGATGATCCAGGGCAACCTGACAGCTCAACGGTACTGTGACGAAATCCTACGCCCACACCTCCTTCCAACCATTGATCGCCAGAGGGAGTTGTTTCAACAGGACAATGCCAGGCCCCACACAGCACGTCACACTAGAGGCTTCCTCCAGAACCACAACATCAATGTGCTCCCCTGGCCCTCAAGATCACCGGACTTAAACCCGATCGAACATCTGTGGGATGCCCTGGACAGACGGGTGCGACGCCGTAACCCTCAGCCCCAGACACTTCAGCAACTCGCACAGGCACTACAGGCAGAGTGGGCTGCGATTGGGCAACACGAGATTCTGAGACTTATTCGTTCGATGCCGAGGCGATGCCGTGCAGTTATGGATGCCCACGTTGGTCACACGAGGTATTGACTTCAGCGCCACCACACGTCTCCATGTGACACTCAAACTGACTTTCCTCGAGTTGGTGCCAAAGACGGATAAGTCTGCATTCCCAGTGTGCAATTTCGCTATATTTCATTGACTCATAAAGCCTACAAGATGTTTCAAAATAAACATAAAAGTACAGTTGAAATTCCTATATGCGTTTCTTTTTTGGGAGAGTATATATGGAACTTTCGCTGTAAAATACAGATTCTGTTACTTTCTGGAGGCGATTCACCCCCCGGGAGTGGAGCCCCAACTCTCAGAGTCAGGCACCTATTCGCTAGCTCACGGAGTCAGCGATCTAACCCACTCAGCCAGCGCTGCTTCCATGAAAATGAAGTCTGACAACTGGCAGTCAAGATGACCTACTTTGTGTATGCCTCTGAGAAGTGTAGATTGCCACGGCTCTCTTACTTTGACAAGTTAAATATAGCATGCCATTTTGTAGGTCACATCATTTATGATCATGTAATCAAATGGTCAACTTAGGCAGACAATGATAACGCGCATGGTGAAGAGACAAGGTCTACACTATGAGGCTCAAATACGTAATCTCTGTTGCTGTAAACAACCAAACATCTCAACCACATGAAAAAATTATTTGTTCGTCAGAATAATGCTAAAAAGCAAGAATATGTAAATAAAGTGCTCTTATAATTCGTTCAGTTAAAACATCTCCGACTTATTCAGCTAGATTGTTCATCAGTGTGCTGTTTACCATCAAAAGGTATAACGGGGTCACAGGCTGAACTTTATTCAGCCTTTTACACCCTAGTTGTAGTACCGTGAAGAAGTGAATGCATATTTGGGAGCGTTTCTTTCCGGGACGTTTAAGGCGCGATCGTGATCGTGGGTTCCAATCCCATACCCGTGAACATGGGTGTCACCAAAATCGGAAACCATCTATGACCAGCATGTCAGACTTACACATACCGTGAAATATTTCACTGAGCTATTGTTGAAAAAGGTGGAACTCGCAACATACCAGCAACATTTGGTACCGGGTCTTATATTATTAATGCACGAGGATTGTCAAATAACTTCCCCACACTGATATTCACGAGATTTCTCTCTTTTCAAGTTCATAATATGAATACATGACACGTTTTATGGATAACAATTTCTTTATTCTCTACACGACGTTTCAGGTGAGTGCTGATGAAGGAGAATGAATTAGCTCTGAAACGTCGTGTAAAGAATAAAAAAGATAAAACGCGTCATGCATTCATGTTCGTCCAAATTCTACATGCCTTTCAAAAAACTTCATAATAACGTCCCCAAAACGTGGGGATCGAACAGGTTAAGCTTTATCATATAACTGGACAAAAATAGTTAGGGATATGTGTAAATTTTGAAATTATGAATAATGATCCATTTATTCATTGACACACCAATAAAATATCTGTTTGATTGGCATTTAGAAGTTGGTGACTAATAAGAAAGTAAGATTCTTTATGGATAACAACTTCTTTTATTATATATGATGCGACGTTTCGGTATGGATTCTTATACCGTTGCTTGACAACGGTATAAGAATCCATACCGGTATAAGAATCCATATCTAAACGTCGCATCATATATAATAAAAGAAGTTGTTATCCATGAAGAATCTTACTTTCGTATTACTTTCCGATAAAATATCAGTCACAAAATACCAACATCCCTAACTTATTTTGTCCAGTATATTTTGATGATGTCAAAAGTACAACATCGACTGATATATAAGTTTTTAATTTCATATAGAAGACACGGAGTACTTCTGAACACAGTGGATATTATATCATTTTGTAAGGTGATTCTACAAAAACCTGAAAATTCAGCAAATTGTTCAGATGTGATAAGTAAAATAAGCATGGGTCTTGAAGAAACTTGAAGAATTTGCAGTGATCAACGTGTGAATATATACCTTCTGTTATATACTCACAGCATGTAAAGGTTCACATTGTAGTACTAAGGAGCCTTACGGAATCCAGTGATGAGAACCCGCATGTACGACATTCAGCAGTTGGATCTGATTTAGCCGCGTCCCACTGCGACCAAAAGTTATACAAAAGGACCATTTGAGAAAAACATCGATGATAGGGAACGATACGAAGTTGTGTTATCGTGATGAGACACATTGAGCAACACTTACATATGCTATCATTTTGTGATACGAGAGTTGTGATTAGAACACTATGGACGAGATTGATCATGCAAATATACTGAGTCAAAAAAGAAACTTCACAAAATCTAATTTGAAAAATAATGAATAATTTTTCTCTGATGATACATCCATGTGTCCGAAATGGGATCCCTATCTTTCGACTATAGAAAAACGTTAGCAAAACCCCATCCATTCGTCGTGCAAATTACGTTAGTGCCAAAACAGGTTTTGCACTTGCAGTCGATCACGTGATCTTCGCATCGAAGTTTTCTTCATATGCACGTGTTTGCATTGGCCTCAAGAATTGAAAAAACACTTTTAAACCACAGTTCTAACGGTACTTGAAATGCCACGATTGTCAAATGTGCAACGTGAACAATGTTGGCATGTTGCAAGCGGGAAGATCAGTTATTGACGTCGCAAGAGCAATGGGATGCCGCCGTCGTACTGTGTATGACTTGCGAGGTCGTCTACACCAAACTGGCACCACTTCTGATCGTCCAAAGTCGGGTCGTCCACGTGTGACGTCACGAGCAGAAGACCGTCAAATCGTCCTACGTCACCTACGTGACAGATTTCTGCCGGCTACACGAACCAGGGCTGAGATGTTTAGAGGTCGACTGTCCTCACAGACCATTCGAAATCGGTTGCCGGCTGCCAATCTCCATTCTCGACGTCCTTATCGTGGGCCAATAATGACGCCGTTTCATCAACGTCAACGTCTGCTGTTGGCCCAACGTCACCTCCGATGGACCCAGAGAGACTGGAATCGAGTCGTCTTTAGAGATGAATCCAGGTTTACACTCAGATTCGCGGACGGCAGGCATAGAGTCTAGAAACGACGTCGTGAACGGTATGCCCAATGTTGTGTACAGGAAGTCGACAGATTCGGAGGCGGAAGTTGCATGGTGTGGGGTGCTTTCTGTGGGAACAACCGTTCCCGACTCCTGGTCATCCGTGGAAACCTCACACCTGCTGCTTACCGCGACCAGGTGCTCACCCCTGAACTCGTTCCTTTCATGGCGGCTCATGGCCCAGGTCTACAGTTCCAGCATGATAATGCTCGGCCGCATACCGCGATGTTGACACGAAATTTCCTTCAAAACGCTGGAATCAACGTCATGGACTGGCCATCGAGGTCCCCTGACCTTAATCCAATAGAGCACGTTTGGGATGCACTTGGGAGAAGGCTTCGTGGTCTTAGGAACCAACCTCAGAATTTGCAGGAACTTGGCGCTGCCTTGCAAGAGCAATGGCGCAGAATCCCCAACCACGTGTTCACAAGCATCAGGCAGTCGATGAGGAGACGGTGTTTGGCAGTGGTGAATGTGCGGGGCGGCCATACACGATATTGAACTGAGAAATTTCGCATTTTTATTCTTGTGACTTGACATTCTGTATACCCATGTTTTTGAACGGCGGTGTAGCCTAATGGAACTGATTATGGCACTGTCAGTGTATCGAGTACATCACACAGATCTCAGCAATGAAATAATAACAATTTAACCATCTTACCATCTCTTGTTCTTTTGTAGTGCCCTGAAGAAAGAATGTGAAGTTTCTTTTTTGACTCAGTATACTTATGTCTGGTTCAGTGCACTGGTCGTGCAGGGTTAACACATGCATATAGGGTTGTTCATGTTCCCCTTTATGCATTTGTAACATAGCCAACAAAACATTTTAACGTCATTGCCTTGACACATGGAATATGTCCAAACCTTGGTTGGTTGGTTGGGTTGTTGTTTAACGATGACATGTGTCAACCAAATCAGCGAACCTGACCACCCAATCCCGTTAGTCGCCTTTTGGGTTGTCCAATTCTAACCCGGATCTTTATGGGTAACATCGAAAAGTAGCCAAAATGGGAACTATTCAGAAACGAGGACCTACCAGCTAGTCTGTTGGTCACATCTGGAGGCAAGCCTGGTTTGCTGAAGACCAATTCTAACCCGGATCTTCACAGGTCCCAAACCTTGTCAACTATGTATGTTTGCCCTGGGATGCCCATTTTGTGCCTTTTCTATGCATGGCGAACGTTTGTTAGTTAGTAAACGTTTGCAAAGAATATTTAAAACCCACCACCATAAAATGGTGCCTAGTTTTAACATGAATGTTTGATTTCACGATGGCAACCATATAGACAGTCAAACTCATACCTGTCATTTATTTGCATGTGCTAGGCGTATATGGCAGGCACATAATCAACTGTATGCGTTTACCTCATAAGGCATGAAATCAGTGGCAAGACCACCGTCGCTTTCACAGAGCGCCATAGACCATCATCACCAGACTCAAAGACAACTCGGGACCTGCATCTCCTGAACCTCCCAATCGGTAGGCAAATGTCTGCGTGGAACCTCCTTACGGAAACTACGCGAGGAATCCTTTGTGGGAAGCAGTAATTTGAGGTCTCAGACCATTACGTGACATTGTACTGTAACGACATCCCCGACTTCACAAATCTTCATGGATGGCAAAGACAAGAAGTACTGTTTTCTCAGTCCCAAACCAAGGTGTTTCCAATGAGGCCAAGACGTTAAATCGTGGATGTCGCGAGGTAAAGAATATGTTATTAATTTCTGATTATTCCATTCACGAACCAACGTAACGTCGTTTGTCCACTCCACAATGCCGACCATACTCGATTCAGAAACTAGCACTGTAACTTTCCAGGGCCCCGATCCACAAAGTTTTCGTAACATTACGACCTGTCCTATATAGTTTATTATAGGCTTACGAATGTCGCAGCGCTACGAACGCTCTGTGGATCGGGATCCTGTTCTTCAGTGGCCATCCGGATCACCAGATACGAACCCATCTGAATGTGAGGGACGATCTTGATCGGATTTGTTGCTGGATTTGAAACAAGCTTAACATCCTCAGACAGCTAATGCGGGGTCCATGTCTCGGGTGTGTTAGAGTGTCATTGGTTCTATATACATACTGACCATACACAATAATGAAGCGCTCCGTACTTGACCCTTGTAACTCAGTGACTTTGACCGTTTAATTTTTCAAAGAGCGACACTAACAGTTTTGTATATCTCTGTATGGGCAGCTCTCCCTAACAGGACTGTTGTTGAATTCAGCTCCGCGTCTCTTTTGTATAGGAGTATATGTGTCATCTACTAGATAAGTGGTGGCGATATACTGTGAGTACATAAACTGTGCCACATGTAGGTATGTCGACATGACCTCCTTCTTCCTTCGTTTTAACCTTATGTTAGGTTGACATCACATGACACAGCATGACCGGTCTCAGGAACACTAAACGGCAATATAAAGTGTGACACCTAAACGGCAATATAAAGTGTGACATCCTCGTGTGTGTGTGTGAGAGAGAGAGAGAGAGAGAGAGAGAGAGAGAGAGAGAGGGGAGAGAGAGAGAGAGAGAGAGAGAGAGAGAGAGAGAGAGAGAGAGAGAGAGAGAGAGAGAGAGAGAGAGAGAGAGAGAGATGGATGGAATGTCACAACCCTGGTGAATGTCAAAAGAGGGTGTGTATTGATACTAGGTAGCGCCAGGTGATATCCTGCATATTGTGAGGCAGGCACTCTGACATTATTGTGATAACAACAGACAATATTCATCGAAACATTTCTCGATCTTATAACTATTATGACGTCATACGTTTAGCGGTATTACACTAGTGTAATACTGCCATAAAAATATTACATTGCAGTATCTTACACGGGCGAGTAATAAGTAAAGATATAACAACCCAAGGTGGGAGGAGATAACAATATCATCACGGAGCCAATTACATGGGATTAATGTCCAAATTACATATTGTAATGACAAAACCAAATCCAACTTCTAAATGCCTTTCAAGGTCTTCAAACGATTCATTACATGGACAAAAATGATGAACCAAATATATTTCAACTATATCTGAACACACAGTCGCTGTTATACATTGAAGGGAAGTTTCAAAGTAGCTTAAAAACGTCAAGATAAATGATTATCATTCTTAAGAACTTCCCTCGGACAAAATTCATTTCGTAGCTTATGTATGTATGTATGTATATATATGTATGTATGTATGTATGTGTGTGTGTGTGTGTGCGTGCGTGCGTGCGTGCGTGGTATCTCACAATTTGTATCCCCTATCTAAATACAAGCGTAAAACCCTCTCCACATTCACAAAGGTTGTGCTAACAGAAGTGTCGATTGTACAATTTCAACTATTCACGTGTTTATGAACCACTAATCACAATAGCAGTTTGATCTATAACAATCAACATCAAAAGCTCATTAAAAAAGATACTACTTACTACACTGATAGATCTTTCAACTGACCTAGTTTGGCTACGTTGATTAGGAAGAAGAAGAAAGAAGAAGAAAATTATTTGATTAAAGTATCACTTGCTGTGGTACAAAATACATAGACATATTATGATTCATTAAAAGCAGCACACGGCCAGTTGACCTACGAGACACTAATTACTTGATTGTGCATATAAAATATAAAATAAGGGAGCGATTCCGTTCGGAAACGTATGGAATCCTAGAAGGGACATTGTTGCGTTGTCGACAATGCGTCAATAAGACATTTTAAGTAACAATTTTCTATTCACCCAAAGGGCGACAATGTGACAATACGACAAATAGCCAAAATGTCGCGTTGTCGCATTATCGCACTTAGGTTAATTTTGCCAGTTTTTGCTTGTTTTTTGTAAGGGCGACAATACGACAACGCGACAATGTCCCATCTAGGATTCCATAGAAACCACATGTATAACGTACAGGCGATATGTATATGACCAGAACATGTAGATACAAATGGCGGGCATTGTGGCCTGGAAGCATCACTAAGTGGATTCTGCATTCAACGTTGCTGAATATTTCTCTTCAGAATGTTTGTTCCAAAACACTCGTGTGTATAAATGTACGGGTTCTAATCCGATAAATACGAGTGTATAAAACAATATTTTTTCTGAGTAAATTGTCGTAAAGCACCCACGTGTGACAAACACAGTGTGATATTTTGGCACAATCAAGCGAAGTAATTAATATAAGCCGTGTATTCATATACGTAGAACTACAACAATGCTATAAAACATTTCACAGTAGCATTGTTTTCTGATTATATTGTCGTTAAGCACCCACGTATGTAAGACACCGTGTGTCATTTTGGCACAATCAGGCTGTAGCAGTCCTTTGTGAATGAAACTATTTGTGTATCCATATACGTAAACTACCACAATGGTGTCAAACATGAAAAAGTGTTGTTTTTTACCATCTTGTCTAAAAGGGTCCATGTGTGAAATACACAGTGTGTCATTTTGGCACAATCAAGCTGTATCAGCACAAATGGATTTGTGTATTTATAAAATAAAGTACTGCCACTAAGATTCGGGTTAGAAGTGGTCTTCAGTTACCCATGCGTGTCGTATGGGATCGGGTGGTCAGGCACGCTGACTTAGTTGACATTGTGTCATCGTTTCCCAATTTCGTAGATCGATGCTCATGATGTTGATCACTGGATTGTGTGGTCCAGATTCGATTATTTACAGACCGCCGCCATATAGCTGGAATATTGCTGAGTGCGGCGTTAAACAACATACCAACCAAACCAGCTGCTGCCACAATAACGAACAATGGACCACAATCACAGGATATCATCATTCAGTCGTCCAAACTGGTCCCCTTCCTCCATCCTCACCCCCAACACACTCACCCTAAGTCAAACAATGGTTTGTATTTCCCAAGCGTAGCGACCATGACATAACCATACTAAATATCCTGTAGCATATATTCTATGAGTCCAGAATGTATGGCTATGAACAGGTTTACACTGTCACAAGTAATGATATTATTGAATTGGTGAGACTTGATCCTAACTGTTGCTCTCCTATCTTCCAGGTTAACTGGTGGCAGGAAGGTTTCCCTCTTGTTCGCAAGAATTAACTGATGACAGACAGATTTCCCTCCTATTCGCAAGGATGTGTCCTTCCTATTCACAAGGGAAAACTGATGACAGACAAGTTCCCTCCTATTCGCAAGGGTTAGCTGATGACAGACAAGTTCCCTCCTATTCGCAAGGGTTAACCGATGTCAGATGGGTTTCCCTCCTATCCGCAAGGGTTCGCTGATGACAGACATGTTCCCCTTCTATCCGCAAGGGTTAGCTGGTGACAGACTTGTTTCCCTCCTGTTAGCAAGGGTTAGCTGATGACAGACATGTTTCCCTCCTGTTAGCAAGGGTTAACCGATGTCAGACAGGTTTCCCTTCTATCCCCTTCTATCGTTAACTGACGACAGACAGGTTCCTTTCTCTTTGCAAGGGTTAACTGACGACAGACAGGTTCCTTTCTCTTTGCAAGGGTTAACTGACGACAGACAGGTTCCTTCCTCTTTGCAATGGTAAACAGAAGATAGTACGATTTCATTACTGCCTGCAAGGAGAAACTGAGAACAGATAACAGGAATTTATCTAGGATTTCAATGAGCCTTGGCTTTCCAATTCAGACAATATCGTAATGTGATATTCAAGCAGGCAATTATTATCATTTGACGCAGATCTGGAACCGAAATATCGGCCACTGATCTGATTAATCCCTGGTCAGGTTTGTGTGGACGTGCAGGACATCCTGCAGCGGCACGTGCAGCTCCCTTTCAACGGCCTTGGCAGCGTTCCTGTTTGTCTCCTCCGAGTCTGAAGTGACGACCATGACGGCATCCACTGCTGTGGTATGTATCTCTCTAAGGCTGTGCTGACGCGAGAACGTCACTTTCCAAAAGGAATCTGTAACGATTTAAAAACATAATAGCCAATGTAAAAATGATCAAATGTTTTTACGTGGAAAATGTATTTAAACAGAATATATTGTATATTTAATGAGAGAAATCAGTATGTCGAAACCCATGAAGATTGGAATATTGCTGGAATATTGCTGAGTGCGGCGTTAAACAAGAAACAAACCAACCAGGATGTTGAAAGTAACATATCCTTTAAACTATGAAGCGAAAATATATTTCAGATATAGACTGAAATAAAAAAACAAACAATAATAATATCAAAAACACCTCGGTTTAACCGGAACTATTACCCAGTCAGAAAGTAGTGCTATATCACAGCAACCCCGTCCGTGGGGAGTCCTGAATAGAGTAGGTTTGTCTCATTGCGGATCGAACCCGGGACGCGCAAACTCTTTAAGGTCACATGCAACCGAAAAAACAAACATAATTAAAACACAATTATCACTTATTCATGACATATATTATACATTGCTGATTGTGAAAAAACAAATAAACAGAATTATAAGCGTACAATCACGAATCAAAAGTGCAATATTTTGCACCTGGGTTTACTTCCCTCGAAACGAAGCACCCGGGAGACCAAACCCAGTCAGAGCGCGTGGGTGTGCACTCAAGTGTAACGAAGTCTTTCACTGGCTGGTTCATTTGCCGATACCCCGAGGGCTCATTGTGTGTGTATATAGAGATGATATGTTTGATTGGCATTTTAGAAGTATGGTGAGTAATAAGAAAGTAAGATTCTTTATGAATAACAACTTCTTTTATTGTATATGATGCGACGTTTCGGTATGAATCCATACCGAAACGTCCATACAAACATCGCATCATATACAATAAAAGAAGTTGTTATTCATACAGAATGTATAAAGAGATGTTAGGTTTTGTAAATACATACTCTCTGCATTTACGTTCGATCCAATCAACAAATACTGAGATGGTGAACTACTGCGTGGCTGGAAACTGTCGCTCGTCCAAGTACAAAGCAGGACTTGAAACTGACAATCTGAGTTTGCACCGGTTTCCGTCCGATCCAGTCATCTGAGAAAAATGGATGCAGTTTGTTTGCAACCCACAGACATAATAACAAGTCCTGTGAACAAGTATCACACCTGCCTGTCTGTGTAATTACATAATGTCACAGAGACAGAACTCAGAGGCACGAGCCATAAATCAATGTATTTTGTTTATGGTGTATAGCCTGATAGGTGTTAAGTTCAAATTGCATGTGGTCAGTGATTGAAGTTGTGTATTGCATATTGTCATTAGCAGACACAAAGGTGTCAATAAAATAGACATTCAGTTTTGTCTGTGACAGAGACTGCTTATCACAATCAATATATTTTTCTATGTTTCTATACACATGTATTAAAACATTTCAGTTTTCAAGCTGAGCAATTTTTAACAATGAAATTAGTATTTCTAATGCTACACTTTCTTTCAAACTTGGTTTGCAAATCTGCAACCAAGTATGGGACCAGTGTAAATTTTATTACTGCAGACCCAAGATGCTTGTAATCACAAGAAACATCTTTTGTTCTCGACCACAGCGATAATCCTTGCACGCATCACTTGCTGTGTTTTTACGAGTCGCCTTCCCGGTTCAAGCCGCGCGAACCTAATCACTGCGCATGCGCAATGGGCGCAACGCAGCTGTTGAAACCACTTTTCACCCCAGCGCTGGGGTGAAATTAGTGAATCGTTTGAACTCCGATTTCATCGCGTTATTTTTCAACTTTATAAGTGGAATTTGCATTTTTTGATGTGTTTCTGTAAGTCCATATCGAAAGGTATCAGAATCTGCAAAGTTGTGTTTTGCGTTGCATGTGACCTTTAAACCACCAAGTTATCTCACCTCTCCCAAAAATCTTACCGACAAGGGAAACTTTGCTGACATCCGGGGGCTCCTGCACTATTCCACGTCTAGCGACACTGGTTACTATTCCAATATAGATGGCGTTATCGGGAATGACCACTGTTACGACAAACACACCACAGGAACGCCGGTTGACGGCAAAAGCAATGGCGGCGCCCGCTCGATCAGGTCTTGCCGCGAGGCTGCCTAGATCAAGTAGATTATGACAGAGCGATGGTATGAGCCACAAAAAATGGACAAATCCAGTTAGTTTCTGGTGTTTGAAAACAAGCCAAAACTGTGATAGTTTGTAATGATTGAACACAGATCGTAACTTTATTACTTTTCGAAACTTTACACGTGTGACGTGTCATCTTAATCGAGAACCCCAAAAGATCCTATTTTGATAATCATCTCCTACGGGCAATACAACAACAGTTACTGAATTACATTCCTCACAATTCTGTGTCAGAAAAGAATCTTCACAAAAGAAAATATTTGCATATGAGTTATTCTGATTTGAGTTCGTTGTGGTGGTTACTATTACGCCAATAGTCACATACATATCTCTCTATTTGTGTGTGCTTGTGCGTGTGCGTATGCGTTTGTGTTTGTTTTCTTGGAAAGACGCTATTATGACATGTCTTCGTATTTTTGTCTAGCTTAACGTTACTGTATGCAAGTTTAAATATTTCTGAATTGGGCTGTGCAATATTACTTTTACCTGTAAATAATTGCTGAATTAACTCGGTATATTACAAACATTATTTGCCAACAAAGGCTGGAATTCTACTGACATTGTGATTTACGCTTTAATCAGGATATACATTGGTAAAAATTCTTCAGTGAGTTACGTTACACCATTGTCAGAAATAAGAACAACCCATGATTTGATTAATGAATGTCAGCCTCAACATGCCGCCAATGATGTATCCCAGATGTCTCCTTACCTTCAGCAGGCACCGGCACGGTCACATGGTAACACCCTTTCTTGGCAGCAAGAATTAACCCCCTCTGCAATGCCTCACTCACGCTGGTCTGGCTGTTGTCGCTGCTGTAGGTGTTGATGAGGGTCGTCCCTGGGACAGTGACGGTGTCCGCCACACATCTAACCCTCTTTAAATCCGCAACTGTTTCAGATAAGAACACGTGACATGCATGTGCATTTGTCAAAGTACAGCCTTAACGGGGGCGGTGGGTTAGCCTAGTGGTTAAAGCGTTCGCTCGTCACACCGAAGACCCGGGTTCGATTCCCCACATAGGTATAATATGTGAAGCCCATTTCTAGTGTCCCCCGCCGAGGATATTGCTGGAATATTGCTAAAAGCGGCGTAAAACCATACTCACAATTGAGACCGCCGCCATATACCTGAAATATTGTTGAGTGCGACGTTCGACAACACAAACATGAAACAATACCGCTGACTCCAGTTACAAATATTCCTCTTAAACGTTATATCAGTGACAGAGGGCACGTCTGAGTGACATTTGATCGATAACAAGGGCCATAACTTCGACGCGACATGGGGCCCTTTTTCAGGACCTCCAATAATGCATCTGTGGCGTATGTCAGTACTCGTGACAGCTGCGGGGCGGTGAGGGTAGTCTAGTAGTTAAAGCGTTCGCTCGTCACGCCGAAGGCCCGGGTTCGATTCCCCACATGGGTACAATGTGTGAAGCCCATTTCTAGTGTCCCCCGCCGTGATATTGCTGAAATATTGCTAAAAGAAGCGTAAAACCATACTCTCACTCACACCAGTGTCAACTGGGATCTGGAGTATATTTTTTGCAACGACTATTGCAACCATACTGACACACTCATCAGGCGTATTCGAATTTGAATAATATCAGGCAAAATGAAACTATTAAGTTGTTTAGGGGTGAGATACTCAAACCCAAAAACGGATTTGAACCTCATTCGTATGGTACCAATATGTACGGCCGCTGTTTTCGTTGACCCATTTATTTTAATTTTAAATTTATTTTAATTTATCTTATATACACCCTGTTCTCGACAACAGTTCTCAACTGTGTGTGTCAGTCTATACTTGGAGGAACTGAATGTTCGTTCAAGAGTTGTCTCACTGCAGTAGCGTGACTAACGGGATCGGGTGGTCAGGCTCGCTGACTTGGTTAACACATGTCATCGGTTCCCAGTTGCGCAGATCGATGCTCATGCAGTTGATCACTGGATTGTCTGGTCCAGGCTCGATTATTTACATACCGCGCCATATAGCTGGAATATTGCTGAGTGCGGCGTAAAACTTAACTCACTCACTCACTGCAGTAGCTCACCTTGTCTGCGGCAGCAGTCCCAGTCGTGTCTATTACGGTCAATACTTGTAAGACCTGAATGGCCGTTCGGATCTGAAAGAAAGTTATCACTTCTGTTTAGTTATATGCGGATTGTCACATGTGGCATTAATATTGACAAGTAGGATGAAGTTCGATCAACATACATAAACTATGAGGCGGTTACAGAGGTGGCAAAAGAGTGGTCAGACTCACTGACTAGTTGCGTAGATCGATGCTCATGACGTCAATCACCGTATCGTCTGCTCTAGACTTGATTACTTACAGCCCGGCGTCATATACATATAGCTGGGTGTGGCGTTAAATCAAACATTCTGCACAACAAATGAAACCATAATTTATGTCGGTGTGTGTGTGCGTGTGTGTGTGTGTGTTTGTGGTTGTTGTTGTTGTTGTTGTTTTTTTTTGGGGGGTGTTGTCACTATATCAGGGCATCTATAGTTTTATAGGGGAGTGTTGACTAAACTAACCATTGATTAGTTAATATATCTTTTGAATTTTTTATGGGGTCCGTCTAACTATATGAATTAATAAATACCTGAATCAATAAATAGACGATAAATAAATAAATAAATAAATAAATAAATAAATAAATAAATAAATAAATAATATACATTTATATTTAGTCACGTACTCGTAATATCTTCCGTCCTCCAGATCAAGAGCAGTGCCCCTGTGACGTCACACGCCTCTGCAATACCTCCGTTGATAATCTGGACAAGCGTGTCGGACACCATGATCCTAACCTCACATTTGGTGTCCCGTTTCCGTACCTCTACATCACAAAGGAAGGTCAAGTATTTTACTATATAACACGTTCACACAGGATAACATTTGGTACTACGAACGCTAGTAGGTGGTCACCATTTCGTTCAATCACTGATGTTGCCGCCGATGCTGGGAAACCTCGCTAATCCAGACGGTAGTGACCCTTTGAAATTGTCCCGATGAAGACGTGTCTACATATCCGAATCATGGGTATATAGTAATACTGCAGCGTATGCGAATAGACGTTTCCTGCAGTAATCTATTGAGACAGTGAGTGAGCTTTTAGCAATATTCCAGGAATATCACGGCTGGGCACACCAGAAATGGGCTTCACACATTGTGCCAATGTGGAAATTCGAACCCGGGTCTTCGGCGTGACGAGCGAACGCTTTAACCACTAGGCTACCTCACCGCGCCAGTAATCTATTGCAGTAGCAAGTTCCGGGTGATCGAGGTTATACTGTGCTCAAACGCTCACACATGTATACCCGTATCAGTGGGTGGGTATGATTTGTGGCGCTTCTAGCAATACATACACAAGCCAATTTAAATATAGGATGACTGTTGAAATGAATGTAAGTCAAACAATTAACTCTCATGTTGTAATAATATAACATCTTACCTTCATTTAAAAAGGCAGGTAAACCGAAAATCCCTTTCCGACCGTAACCGTGTGTAAAAAGGTATTAACATTAAGAGCGGGTTCCATCCTGGAAAAGTTATAAATTTAACTGTCAACTTGAGTTATTTCACGTGTCTATGATATCTGGCATAACCAAAATCGTTGTCGTAAGAGGCGACTAACGGGATCGGATGGTCAGGCTCGATGTCTTGGTTGACATGTCATCGTACGTATCCCCATTAGTGGTGTTCCGATTAATTTAAATAATCGAAGATTGGTCGCAGTGACCAAACGACCAAGCAATCGATCACATTTTCTCATAATCGAACATAAACGATTTTGGAACTACTGTTTTAGTCTTTGAAATACTTGACAAAATGGAACATATCGTTGAAGTTGTCAGGGCATGAAAACGTGTTTAATTCTTAGAAAACTCACTTCACTAACTGAAAAAACCATGACTGAATATTTCTTGAAGACTCCGGGAAGTTTATGTTCATGATATATTAGTCATCACTTTAAAGTAGCAAGTTGCATCATGTTATACATATCTGCAATAACAACCTGGATAGGAAAATCTGAAAAATGACGCTAACCAATTTTTGTCGATGATTGTTCGTTGGTAATGAAACAATCATCAATTGTGAGATTTCAACCAATTCCCAACACTAATCCCCAACACTAATCCCCAACACTAATCCCCATGGCGTAGATTGATACTCATGATGTCAAGCAATCATGCTCATGCTGTTGATCACTGGATTGTCTGGTCCAGACTCGATTATTTACAGACCGCCGTCATATAGCTGGAGTATTGCTGAGTGCGGCGTAAAACAACAAACAAATATTTACCGCTGCTGAGGTATACAGGTAATACCATTACTCAAGTGCCTATGATATCTGCTAAAACCATAAAATGGAGTAAAATCGCATAGCCCCGGTTCTTGTCGTCATAAGTATGTTCTAGTTATATGTACAAATCTAATATCATTACAGTTGATAGTAAGAATGGTCTCTGTAACAATCAACTGTTCTATTTGTATACTGGGGGAAACATCGCGATCATATCTGACTCGGAATGATTTCACACATTGAAGGGAATTGAAACCGGGTGATTAGCTAACGCTTTATCCACCTGGCTACCTGGTAGGTGTTTGAATTTGGAAGAACATTCTAAATCTGCACACAAAGATAAAATCATATATGTGCTTACACTGCGATAACTTCGCTGACTTTATTATCCCAGGTCTGTGTGCACTACAACCAAGCTTCCAGCGAGGCGCTAGAAGGCTATAGTCACGTAATCATTCATTTCATCTTACTGGGTACCCATTCACTGCTGGGTGAACAGAGGCAAAGTCATGTAACTTATGTAATACATCCTTTGTTATATGTGCTACCGTATGGGGCAGGACTGAAGCCCTACAAAATCTCAGGATTCAAGCGGACAAAGATGGCCACCCATCCAAGACACTCCGCGCTCAACGTTGCTTAACTACAACTCACATGTGACCTGTGCTCTTTGCCAAACACCACAACACAAAACCACTGAGTGCCTGGCATTCCACGTCGTTTATGGATACTATAATGCCATCTATCACTCTACCCAAAACCTCTGGCACATGCCACGACCTCACCTGTTCTAGGATGAGCCAATTGCCTTGTCTTGAGCTTGTGGGACAGGCGATGAGCGAGAAACAGCTGCAATGAGCGACAAAAGTACTTGTGAAGATATTCTTCATTCAAAACACATTTCACAAACTTTTGAAAGTTTTAACCAAAGTATAATATCTCACCTTAAAACATTCCAAAAGACGGCGACATCCCAGTGGTGAATATTTTTATATGTGTGCTTTTAGCAATATTCCTGCAATATCACGGCGGGGGACACCAGAAATGGGCTTCACACATTGTACCCATGTAGGGAATGGAACCCGGGTCTTCGGCCTGACGAGCGAACGCTTTAACCACTAGGCTACCCCACCGCCCCTAAACATTTGTATGACATAATGTGAACCCTGGAAAGTAAAGTAAGTGAGTGAGTTTAGATTTACGCCGCTCTGAGCAAAATTCCAGCGATATCACGGCGGGGGACACCGGAAATGGCCTTCACACATTGTACCCATGTGGGGAATCGAACCTGAACGCTTTAACCCTTTGGCTACCCCCTCGCTGAAAGTTGAAAGTATAGATTGTGTGTTTACTCTAATTTTACATTTGAACAGCGCAGCTTCTAATAGCACTACTCTCACCTTTTATATAAAAGTAATATCTCCCAGTTGGGGATTGCTTTGAGAGCCTGGGATATTGTTCAGGCAGAATTGTACGATATACAATTTGGACATGGGGGCCAAAGTAAACCTTTTTAAACCACAACAAAACATTTTCAAAAGCAAACAAGAACACTGATCGATTAACATATCTTTTACGAAATGCATATTTTCCAGCATGTTCCGGAAAGAAATATCAGCCAGATTATGACAGGTCAGCACACAAATAAGAGGGCGTGGTTCCACTGTGTTCAGAAACGCGATTTAAATAAAGTACCTGTTTCACTTCCAGCCTTGACTCACGGGAGATAACTATGAAAATCTCTTTCAGTGGCCCTGCTCTCTCGTCTTGGGTGAATAGATCAATAGCGTGATACATGAGCTGTGCAACGTCCTTGGCAGGATACCGTAGGGCCCCTGTACCAAACGCTGGCAGTGCAATTGTCTCAAACCCATCCTTGCTTGCCTGGATGAGGCATCGGAACACAAGAGACACCAGCCACTGTACTGGCAGCAGTAACTCAAAGTGCATCTTTCCAATCGCTGGAACAGAAAAATAATCAAGTATTGGATCTATCATTGCACATGTACCATTTGTTTGTCACCTGATTTCGGCTTCATTTAAATAAAAGTTATTTAATTTTTCATTTCATGCAAAGAAAACCACAATGGACCTGACAACGTTCAACTTCGACATCGGAGATTCAAACACATTCTTGACAAGAAGTATCGCTGTGTATTGTTACTATATGGGCATTATGTTCTTATGAAAGTTGCACTAATCACACAATTTGTGCTAAGTCAGTACATGAATGCATATCAAGCCCCAAGATCCCGATACCCCTGCGTCTGGTTAAAACAACTGAGGGATTTTACTTTTTGTGACAGATGATCACTCCAGGGAAGATTAAGCTAATAAATCCATAAGGATAAGAAAAATATAAGTAACTGGTTACAATGTTATACCTGTTGTAAAAGACATTAACAATGTCATCATTTCTGACATTAATGAAAACATTGAAGAAAGAAGCATAGACATCGTATGTAAGAATTTGATTAACCGAAGTCCACATTTGGAGTAAAAGTACACTGTAGGCATAAAGCTGATTCAAGTGTATTCTATATTCCAACAACTATTTTAGAAGATAATCATTTGTGGGCCATACATGGACACATTTGCAAGTGTACGACTGTTTGTATATTTTCCTTTTGATATATATGTTGTGTCAACAAATCACACATTTTGAAGCAAATGGACATTTAAAGCTTGACATTGTTAATAAATGTAACCAGCTACACACTTTTACATATAGTAACTATATCGCAACACACTATAACGTAGTTAACGTTTTAGGTCCTAATATGGCGCCACTATTGAATGAAGATTACTCCAACGGGGCATTTTCTCACCAAGTTTGCGGTACTGTTGACGGTGAAATTTGGTTTTTCAATGCTAGATAAAACCGTTCATAATTTATTTCTTTTGTTCGAAGTCATATTTTCTTAGCAAAGATAATTGCTTAAAAATGGTTCTATTATAACTATTATGTTTCAGGCTTTTAGTAATATGTCGATCGGTTATCTTTTGAAGGGATTGGATTTTTAGAATGTCGATTAAGAAAGTCTTGAAAAACGTAACGTCATTCGGAGCCTTACATGTATTGAGAGTCGGTCAGTTAGGATAACGATGAAGATGCATACCTCTGTTGTCGTCGTACATATGTTATATCTGGTACAATGCTGTATCACCAATGGTTCTTTAGTATGTACACGATTTCGATTTTACAGCCAAGAAAGGATTGACAAAGGTACAAAAAAGGCGGTGAAGAATGTGCTCGAATGTGCTGTGAGCGGCTCAGTTGAGGGAGAGTCGCTCCTCAGTTACAATCCTTATTTACGTTTATGCGTAACAGGTGCACCTGACCAAGGGTCTCTATCAAGAGATGTTATAACTGATAAAGAAAATAGGTGGCTTTTATATATGAAACAACCGAAAGCGTCTGTGAAACAAGGTAAATATATACGTTCCTGATCTGTCTTCATTTAGGATCCCGTGAAAATCAGGCTTTTGTCTTTCAATGGGTTTTCACACGTGTGAACGCTGTGTTATGCTGACCATGACGTTAAAAGAGGGGTTTTTTTGTCTTTCAGTGGGTTTTCACATAACTGTAAAATCCATGTATTTGTTGCTTTAACACTCACTGTGGCTTATTGTTTGTTTTTTAACAATAACTGTGGTCCATTGTGTGTTTTATTGTTACGCTGACCATAACGTGAACAGAATCATGTCTTGTTCAGGGAGAGAATCACAAAGATGTAGTCGTAACTGCCCCAATATTTGGAAACATAACGTTAACAGGTGATGAAAACAGGGGCTTGTATATACAAAACAATTGACTTTTAAGTGTCCGTGAGACAATGTAATTGATATATATGTTCATGATCTGTCTTCATTTAGGATCTTGTAAACAGCGTTTTTATTTGTCTTTCAGTGGGTTTACACTCCACTGTAAAACCCATTCATTTGGTGTTTTCAAACTCACTGTGGCTTGTTTTGTGTTTCATTGTTAACATAATCATATGTTTTTTTAGGAGAATCCCGAAACCACCACCACATTTAGAAACAGAAAACGTAATTTTGTACTCGATTGACGAACCTGTAAATGACAACAATGCCAGTAGAGCACACAAAAAGCTTGAAATCTCGCAAAATCGTTCTGTATTGAAACTTGGTTAACTTGAAGTAATATAGTCTCAAGGTACCTGTGTGCTGATGAAGTGATTTGAATGTTCCTAATGATTCGCTTTGATTAGCTTCATCATCTTGTCTTTTACATTAGCTGCACATTGCTTCAGCATATTTTGAAAATCAGCGTAAAAATATTACTGGTTAATGATGAAGCCTTTTACGATCAATATGTCGATGTCAAGTTTTATACAGTTCACTAACTTTCTCCTTGCCGTTGAACAAACAAATGCTTATAATACGGACATAAGTACACAGCTTAGTAATGTATTACTTACAAAGTTCAGTGTGCATTGGGGTTTATATTGTATGCTGTATTTCTTTAATATCATGTTTTGGTGGTCGGTGCGTTTGTAAAACATGACTAATCCCCAATGTGCGACGTAATATTGTGATTTTTTAAATATTGTGCTAATTATGAGAAAAACAATGAAAAGGTTCAGTATACACACCAGAGGACGAAAGACGAAACGGTACAGTCGCTGATAAAATATGAATAAGACCAAACCCTTTCCACATCTATAAGAAACCTATGCTGAAAGCAAACTCGATTCCGACTATACATGTATGTTGATCATGTATTTACGAATCAGCATGAAGTAGTAATGATACTGGATATTTGCTAAAAGGATAGCATATCCTGCTATACCGGCGGTATGGGTCATAAACACATGCAGAGGCTAGTCCATCAGGATCCATTTTCCACGCACAAATTCTGACTACCTACTTCGTGCATATAACTAAAACCAGTGGAAAAGGTTGAGCTATAATGTAATTATACTTCTTGTATCAAGGTAATTCGTGTCAACATACGAAAATAACGAAACCGATATGATGATTTCAATCTACATTTCTACAAGCGTTTAAGTGCAGTGGGGATGGGGTTGGGAGGCGAGCTAGCCAGGTGTAATCAACACACGGATGACTTTAGTTCACGTGTACAATCTGTAGAGACCTATGTGAAATTGACGGAGTACTGCTACAATCGGCTGCTATTCACGTTTACAAAACCCGTGAAGATCGATTAGAATTTGTCTTCAGCTACCCATTTTTGTCGTAAGAGACGACCCATCGGGTGGTCAGGCTCGCTGACTTGGTTGACACGTCATCGTATTCCAATTGCGTAAATGCGGTGCTCATGACGTTGATCACTAGATTGTACGGACTCGATTATTTACAGACCACCGTCATGTAGCTGGAATGTTGCTGAGTGCGGCGTAAAACAACAAACAAAACAAACCATTTTCACACTCTGACGGTATTCCCTCAGTGCAGCTTACGCAGGTTTACGGTAATTGACGGAAGAGGAAAACCACCAATTAATGGGGTATCCTTACGACAGCTTTTACAGTAATTAACATAAAAAGGGCATCGATTCATCCTCTGAACCCTGAAGAAGTGAATTATCTATTTCAGTAAAAGAACAACATCCAGGTGCCAAGGAAAAGAAAGTAGATGTGCTGTATCATTTTGAAGCTGAGAATGGAACACTGGTGGTATTATGGTATCATGTTGCAATGTTAATTGGAGACACACCGTCGGCAAAGGTAACGTTCAATACATCAGTCTTGATACCTGACGCGGAGACTGTGTGTTTCAACAAGGGTAACAACAAGCTGTACATCATCTATAATCGTCCGAGAATTCAAGAGCTGTTTTCAAGGGATGGTATACAAGGCACCGATGTTCTTCAAACAAGAATAAATGGGACCCTATGTGGTAATATATTTTTCATCAGCCATCACAATTGATCATTCTGCTATGGTGACGACTTGTTTTTAAGAACGAACTGGAAGAACACGGAAGCAGCCTCAAATGTTCAAATGTTCAAATGTATTGTTCTGTGGACGTATAGGTTGTTCTCCCAAGATTTGCTGAAACTAAATTGTTCCGTTAATATATACAAATATACGGTTAAACACCATTGTATCAAAAGGACCAACGAAAATACTTCGTCATCTGAGCTTAGACATTATGCAAAAAGTGATGAATGAGGAACAAATACACAGGGACTAAGTTCGAGACAATCATTTCTTCATCTCATCAAAGTTTGACAGTGGTGTTAAGCGGTTATTAGCATGTCTTAACTTAAAGTAGTGTGCCACAAATTGTCCTTCTAATCAAACATTAAAAACTTTCTATGACTAAACCTTCTAGAAGTACATGAATATGTACTTTTGCTATTTGTGTCGAAACTGACGGACATTACTCGACAATAATTGTTATATGATAAATACAATGATCAAGAAAACAATTTTTTAAGTTATGTTAATAATCTCTAAAACCTCATATTTTTCTGAAAACCGTCAATGGGGTACTGTTGCGGATCTTAAATATTTCTATTACCACAAGTGAAATAGGAACGTGGAAAATTATGTACCACATTTTTATTGAATCTGCAGTAGTTGTTACAAAAATTCGACTATTTTGTCATGTGTACAGTTTTGGAGCCAGAAAGACACAAACATCTATTACCCGACTATGACAAAATTCAAAATTACTTGACGTGTCGAGGCCATTTAGCATAATAATGTAAAAGGCAACATGTCAAATATTTACATTGTTATGATGAGTGAGTGAGATATTGCTGCTTTTAGCAATATTATAGCAATGGGCATCAAACATTGTATCCATGTGGGGAATTGAACCCGGGTCTGTAGCGTGAGAAGCGAAAGTTTTAACCACTAGGCTACCCCACCGCCCCCCTCTTATGATGAATAAATCCATGATTAGCTGAACGTTTT